CATTTAGGGCCACACTCCCTTGCTCCTCAAACAAATACTTGCTCTTGAAAGTCATTTTTTAGTAGACTATATGGGATTTTTGTTGTTCCCATCTACTCCTTCATCACCAATCAGTACAACTGAGAAATTTATTTATTGGCTCAGCTATTTTTTCCAACATTGTTCACTTGGTGATTCCGTAATTCGTGGTGATTTCGACAGCCATAAATGCAGTTGCAATTTTCGAACTCTTTGACTCTCCATAGCTCAGTTTACATTCTCTTTCATGCTGGCTCAACAGATTACTGGCAAGTTCGTACTCACAATTGCTCCTCAATTATTCCCCCGAACAGTCCCCTCATCTCAGAGTCTTTGCTCTTCCTCTGGATATCAGATAACTACACTTTTACCAAATTCCAGTTTGATGTGAATTATCAGAATCCTCCCTCACATTCTTTCTTATCCAGACACCCTCCTCCCATGTTCCTGGATCTTCCTGTTTTGACCTCACTGTGTCAGCTTACATCATTTTCATACCACCCAGGGGCCTAAGACATATATGATTTATTTATGGGTTTACCAATTTCTTCACCCCTACTTGAATGAAATTGAGAGAAGCAGAGTTGTTTGTGTTACTCCCTGCTGTGTTTAGCAACTGAGTTATATAACATGTCTTTATATAGGTACACACACGTAACTATAGATATTACTGCAATATAATGGATATTAAGTATATTTAATGAGCAAAAAATCCCTCTTTTAAAAGTATAATATAATAAATATCATAATTAATTTTTTAATACACTGGGTAAATTCAAAGTGCTATTTTATCTACAATCTGAAGCTGGTGTCATATGTAGACAATGATTTTATAATTTTTCCCAAGAAGCCTGTTGAAGAAATAATCAAAATTAGGCCATTTTTTAGTTTCTGTCAAGATATCATTTTCTATATAAGTCTGACATTCTGAGTTCAATCTCCAGAACACACAATAGACAGAGTTAATTGACTTCTCCAAGTTCTGTGACCTCTACATACATGTATACATGTATACACACATATCCACACACAACACACACAAATAAAATTAATTTTAAAGAAATGTCATCTCAGAAGAATGCTAAGTACCTCTCAGAGGTAATGCCCAACATTTTCAAGGTTTCGTGTCCAGTTTGCATCTGACAGAAATTGTGGCACAAAGTAGATTAAACAATCAGAGTGAACTATCAGCTGAGGTCAAGAGAAAAACTAGTAAGGTGGGTGTTAACCCTAGTTAAATTCAAAATTTTTATGTTGTCCAGAAAAAATAGTAATAATTCTTACCCCTAGTATTGCTTTCGCACTTTCTTTCCACCTTTGTGGGTTTTTTTCCTTTGATCTGCTTTCCTTCCTTTTCTTCTATACTTTATTTATCATTAATACTTTGAGGAAATTCTTACTAGTCCCTTATTATACATAAGGCTTCTAGGAAATGTCTCCTAGCAAGGTAAACTGATTCAATCCTTCTTGAAACTTAGGGTATGGGGGTTATACATAGCCAGGAGACTGAAGTAAACATTGAGCTTTCTGACTTTACAGTAGGGAAGGATCATGGATAAATGATGTCACAAGAGATAGGCCAATCAATGAGTGTGCACACTGCTGTACTTGCTACAGAAAGATGGCAAGCTTTTAAGAAAGTGACAATATGGGCACAAGAAGATTGTTATTGGTCGTGATGGAAGTGGATCAGCAGAAGTAAACTAATCAGAAACATGTGGTCAAAGTTCTTGTTGATACAACCATCACATACATTACCTCATCCAGCTATGGACTTACCTTCTGTGCATTTCAATCTAATTCTAGAAATGTACCTAAGATGTTTTTACCTTTCAGACTTTCCTATCCTCAATTCACCTTCCTGGATATGGTTTTCATTCCTCTTTGCCACTAAAATAGTTTTTAAGATGGACTCAAATAGCCACAGCAATGCTAAAAATCACTAGACATTTTCCATTCGAGTGCCGAGCATCATAAGAACTGCCTCTCTCCAGAGCACTACATTCTGCTGACTTCCATGGCACTGGATTCTTTGACCACTTCTGTGACCATTTTTTTCTTTTTTTTTTATGCCAGTTTGGCTCACACTTATCAGCCTGTCTTTTAAATACTGAAACCAGTTGTGGCTCAATCCTAAATCCACTCCTTTTCTGACAATAAATAATGATTCCTTGCTGTTTTGTCCAGGGTGCTGTTTCTTATGTTCTTACCTCCATTGCTTTTAACTCTAACAGTTCTAGGCTCAAGTATCATGATGTCTGTTAGATCTTTCTTGTAATTGTTCACAGACAACTCAAGCATTGTTTTCCTATTTAGGGAAGATTCAAGAAGGGTGAGCATGTTTGAAGATGCCAATAACTGATACAGAACAAAAGAAATCATCTGTGGATATAATAAGATAAAAAGGGGGACTAGGAGTAAAATCTATTTTCGCTGAGAATGGTGAGATTACTTTTTAAAACTTAATGAATTCAGAGCTGAACAAGTCTTTAAGTGAGATACAAGGCCTTTCATTATTTTAAAATATAAATCATAAGTATAGCTGATAATATTAAAATAATAAAGCAGAAATGTATAAAATAAGCAAAAGACAAAAACTAAAAGGTTGAAAAAGTATTGGCCACTTAAAACCTATAACATCTCCAAAGTGGTTGTACCAGTTCACATTCCCACCAGCAACAGAGGAGGGTTCCCCTTTCTCCATAATCTCTCCAGCATGTGTTGTAATTTGAGTTTTTGATTTTACCAATTTTGATGGGTGTAAGGTAAAATCTCAGGGTCGTTTTGATTTGCATCTCTCTGATGGCTAAGGATATTGAGCATCTTTTAAGTATTTCTCTGCCATTCTATATTCCTCTACAGAGAATCCTCTGTTTAGCTCCGTACCCCATTTTTTAATTGGATTGCTTGATTTATTGCTTTTTTAACTTCTTTAGTTCTTTACATATTCTGGATATCAGCCCTCTGTGAGATATAGGGTTGGTGAAGATCCTTTCTCATTTTGGAAATCAATCTGGTGCTTTCTCAGACAATTAGGAATAAGCGCTTCCCCAAGACCCAGCTATACCACTCCTAGGCATATATCCAAAAGTTGCTCAAGTACACAACAAGGACATTTGCTCAACCACGTTTGTAGCAGCTTTATTTGTAATAGCCAGAACCCGGAAACAACCCAGATGTCCATCAGTGGAGGAACAGATACAGAAAATGTGGTATTTTTACACAATGGAATACTACTCAGCAATTAAAAATGAGAAAATCATGAAATTTGCAGACAAATGGTGGGATCTAGAAAAGATCATTCTGAGTAAGGTATCCCAGAAGGAGAAAGACACACATGATATATACTCACTTATTTAGACTTATAAGATATGATAAACAATGAAATACACCTAAAGAAGATAAACAAGAAAGAAGTGATCAATCCTCACTTGGAAAAACAAATGGGATAGACATTGGATGTAGGAGAAAACAAGTAACAGGACAGGAGCCTACCACAGAGGGTCTCTGAAAGATTCTACCTAACAGTGTATCAAAGCAGATGCTGAGACTCATAACCAAACCTTCAGCAGAGTGCAGGGAATCATATGAAAGAAGGGGGAGTTAATATGACCTGGAGAGGATAAGAGTTCCACAAGGACCAAATATATCTGGACAAAGGGGTCTTATATGAGACTGTTTCTCTAACCAAGGACCATGTATGGATATAACCTAGAACCTCTGCTCGGATGTACCACATGGTAGCTCAGTAACCAAGTGGATTTTCCTAGAAAGGGGAACAGGGACTATTTTTGACATAAAATCAATGGCTGGCTTTTTGAACACCCCACCCCCCAAGAGAGGAGCAGTCCTGTTAGGCCACAGAGGAGGACTTTGTAGCTAGTCCTGAAGATAACTGATAAAACAGAGTCAGATGAAAGGGGAGGTCCTCCCCAATCAGTGGACTTGGAAAGGGGCAGGGAGGAGATCAGGGAGAGAGGGTGGGATTGGGAGGGGATTAGGAAGCAGGATACAGCTGGGATACAGAGTTAATAAAATGAAAATAATAATAAAAATAAATAAAACCTATAACATTACTGAACCTCAACTGCTTCCCTAGCATCCCTGTCTTCAAATGTAACTGCATTAGGGATTTGAGGGTTTCTTCTAGGAAACAAGTTTTAATAGCAGCAGCAATAATATATATATATATATATATATATATATATATATATATATATATATATATTAATGTCTGCTACGTGAAATCCCGCAAGCCACGGGAAAGAGCAGACAACAGTCTCTATTAAGGAAGAGAAAATGATATTTTGTAACTCCTTTCATGAGTCCATGAGAAATGATAACAAAGCTTAGCTACATTAAGAGAAAATAATATTGTGTAATGTTCTTATAGGACTATCATAACAATTTTCCCATTTTTTAAAAAAAAGGTATAATGTATTTAAATGTATTCATATATATATATATATATATATGAATACATTTAAATACATGGTTCACATAGGTCCTTAATAAAAATGCGAGATTTGTTAACATTTATAAACATTTAGTAATTTTCCTAATGGACAGACTAAAACATATTATCAAAAGATAGAGCAAAAGCATATTAAGTAGTCCACACACATTTATGATGAAAATCAGAAAATTACAAACAGAAAGAAATGCTCTGGTAATGGCTACATAGTTAGTGGAGGGATGGTGGGTATTTTCATTTGAAACTGGAGCACTTTTTTTTTTAAATCCGAGTGCTACATTGGACATTTTGCTGAATGCAAATAGAAAAGAAAATAAAAAGCACAGTGACCATAAAAGAAAAAGATTACCATTACTGATGGAGGAAGTGGAAAGTGATCTTGTCTTCAAAATACCCAGACAATGTTGAAAACAACTTCCACATAATTACGTGAATTTGTGAACACCTTGGGTACATCAAAAATATATTGAATAAAGCAAATAGAAAAATCAATAAAACTTATACTTACAGAAAAATGGAAGAGATCTTTTGGGGAAGTCAAAAACACCTAGGAAAGAGGCAGCATGGAAGAGGAGCATAAAAATCAAGTAAGTTTGTGTTGCTTGAAGGTTACTGGAGACTTACTAACATGCTCAAAGATGGAAAAGCTTTGTGGTGTTATTCTGTCAATCTCCCAAGTTAATTTGTAGATCCAGCTCAATCCCAGTTTTGTTTACTAAGGTAGAGGAACAATTTCCATGTGGACTGTAAAGGCCAAGACAAAACTACATGTAGATGAGAAGAAAGCTAGGAAAACCTGGACCTTCAGCTGCTGCAGTTAATAATGCACATTGCAGCAAAGCATGGCAAACGGACTAAAGAAAAATAATAGAGAATTTAGAAATGGATGTATTAATCATATTCACTCTTCCAGTTTAACAGAGGTACTCATCACATATATGTAGGTTCTATACATATGTATCACAGAAATGAACACACAAACATATAGTTACACATATATAAAATATATAGATGTGCAGACATGTGGTTATGTCTGTTTTAAAGTAAATTTGTTTTATTGGACAGGACAGATTACTACATGAATAATCAATGCAACAGTAATCTTCTATTCAGGATTCGAAGCCACTTTAAAATAGTAAATTTAATATGAAAACTCATGTTTAGTTTCTGACTGATGATTTATGTTCATCTCTGCTTACTTTGCAATAATTACTGAACCCCTCTACATATGGGTTGTTCTATTAACGTGCATATTTTCTTCAACAAAATTATTTTCAATGCAATTCTTTAAAATGGAGAACCAAGCTAATCTCAACAGATTTTTGGGTCATAGAAAATTTAAAGACTATACAGATAACAACATTAGAAAACAAAATGAATTTACACAGATTATTATTACAAGTTCAATATATAAACATCTATTTCTAAAGATTCACCCTCATCACAGTAACATCAAGTTCTCAGTATCTAGAAAAATGCAACAAAGATGATCATAATGTTTTATCTTTTCTAAAAAAGAGAAAAACAAAAATAAAAAAAATAAAACAAGGAACAATCTTGACATATGGTACAAGCTGTCCTTGAACTCATTGTGGAGCAGAGGTTAGACTCATACTTGTAGTAATTAACCATGATCTTCACATAATACACACACACACACACACACACACACACACACACACACACACACATAACATTATTGAGATAAATTGCAAGAAAACAAAATAAAATGAGAAGAAATAGTCTGGTGCTATCATTTAGAGTTCTCTGAACTCTTGGTCTGAACCTACTGACATGACAACAGAACCTCTAAAAACATTAGCCTTTTATTTTATCTTCTTGCCATTGCTTACAATTACAAAAACTGGGAACACTATGAGTGACTGGATCTGTGTGACAATCTTTTATCTGTTCCTGTGAAGGGTTGGCGGAACCACACAGAGGAGTGAAAAAAGAAAGTTGCAGGAAAAAAAGGTCTTATCTCAGTTCTGTAAAAATATTGCCATGCAACCAAATAATCTGGTTTGAAAAAAACATTGTTAATCTATTACTGTCTGAAAGATGTACATGACTAAAAATGGCTGGGTCAAGTGGAAAAACATTTAAAATTTTTATTTTCCTCTGACTTTTATGATTCCATTTGTTGAAGTGGGCATGCTTTTGAAACCTAAAAATGTTTTAAAAGAAAATTATTTCCTTCATGGATCATCAAATCCACAGTACCTTTCTTTTTCTTTCCCTTGTGTAATCTCATACACTTAAATTTGCCCATGGCCACCTCCCAACACCAGTTGTTTCTTGTCTACTTTCATTAAGGGCTCTTAAAATGGGCAAGCTCTGCCAGCCTCTCTTTTGGTACTTGTTATTATATTCTACAAGCCTTAACATTGTGTTAAGATGACTCTGCAGGCCAAGTTTCAAGGGAGATTCTGGTAAATCCTCCACTTATACCACGTTTATCTATGAGTTCATTGCAGCTCTTTGCTGCACCTTTGTTTATATACAGATTCCATCTAGGTTCTTTATGTATTGCCAGAACCCAAAGGCACAGTTTTCTCTTAATGCATTCCAGTTTCCATAGTACTGTAGGATTTGTTGGCTTGAGTTTTGTAAGAGACAGCCAGTCCTTTTACTGAATTACAAAGACTCAAGATTTAACCCACGATAAATGTTGGATGTTGCTTGTGGTCCTGGCAAGCATTAGACTTTGGTTGAAAGAGTGCACCTACCTCTAAGTTAAAAGCAGCCTTCTTGAACCTCCAAGTATACATTCCACTTCCGAGTGCTTGGTCACCACAGGCTCTGACTAACGTTGACAATCGGAGCACTCTTCTTGCTTGAGTTGTTTCTTCCCTCTGGGAACTAAAAAAGACTACAGACTCTAAGATCACTGCCCCCCTTTCTCCCTCCAATATGCTTATTTTATGTTCTAGACTTTGATAGCCACTATGGCTTCAGAATGTCCTGACAACAACTTATAAGTTCCCTGTATGGGACTCTAATTACGACTGAAATAGTTTAAGCTAGTAAGCGTGTAGCTAAAACAATCAAACCTGACTACTTGTGCAAACAAATCTGCCTCAAGTGGCCTTCTGTCACAGCCAATGGTGAGAAGCAAACCATACAACTTCATAGTCTAAACTTTCTGCAATTTCTTCTTCACAACCACTCACTCGCTTTTTTTTTAATGTCTATTTGTTAAGAAATAATGTTTTTGTTCTTTGAGAACTTGATTTAGCTTCCTCTCCAAACTTTTTCCAGATCCTCTTCCTCCCCCATCCACTAAATGTCATTCTTTCTCTTTCCTTCTCTCTCTGTCTCAACCAAAGCAAAACAAAACAAACTAATAACAATAACAAAACAAAAGCAAGCAAACAAAAACTAAAACCATGGAGTCCAGTTTGTGTTGGCTGACTTCTCCTGAGCATGAGACTAAGCTTGGAGTGCAGTACTCATAGCAGATGTAAGTATGTTGAAGAAAACAACTGACTTTCCTTCCCCCAGAAGTAAACAAATGTCAGTATGTCCTTAGCTAAAATTAGGACTTTGTACACACCTCCCCTCCTCAGTGCTGGGATTTTTTCTGGTTTGAGCTTGAATAGGTCATACATACAACATACTAACCTTCTGGTAAAGTTTTTACCTTTTGTCTTTTTTGTTTGTTTGTTTGTTTGTTTGCTTTTTCAGTCTGTTATGTTTATTATTTTTACCTCTGCATCTGTGTTTGCATTTGTGTATGTGCATGTGACTGCAGTCCTTAGAAAGGCCAAAGGCATAGGATTCCTCTCAAACTGTAGTTACATATGGTTTTGAACAACCAAATATATGTTGGAAACCCAACATGGGTCCTCTGCCAGAGCAGTACATGCTCTTAACTGCTGACTCATTGTTTTTAACTATCTAATTTTTTCTATTTGACTTCTTCTGTCTGCTCTACTTTTAAAGATCTAGAGATTGTGTATGAATACGTTTGTGTAATTATATGCACATTAATGTGTTCAAGCACATGTTTCTGTGTGTGTGAAAAGATTTCAAAATGGAAGCAGCTATCCACATCTATCTTTTTAAAGGTCTTTCTTTGAACTTGAGATTTGCCTTTTGTTGGCTAGCCTGGATACCAGCAACCTTCAATGATCCCTCTTTATACTTTCAGCCTTGAGAACTGACATTACAGGCATTCTCTTGACACCCTGTGTGTTAAGCTGACAGGAGCTTGACCCTCATAATTGTACAGGAAGCACCGTTAAAGGCATTTTCCAGTCCCTACCATATACTTCTCAACAGTAAAAACCGAAAGTTTTAATTTTTTTTTCTTTAAAGAGCTTTGAAGTAGAACTGGAGAGGAAGCTCAGAGGTTAAAAGACCTCATGACTCCTCTAGAATTCAGTTCTAAGCATTCACCTCTGGTGGCTCTGTTAGAAGAAAAAGTGGGCAAGAGTCTTGAACTCATTGGCACAGGAGACAACTTCCTGAACAGAACACCAACACTTCAAACTCTAAGATTAACAATCAATAAATGGGACTTCATGAAACTTAAAAGCTTCTGTAAAGAAAAGGACACTGTCAACAGAACAAAAGAACATCCTACAGACTGGGATCTTCACCAACCCTATATCTGACAAATGACTAATATCCAGAATATATAAAGAACTCAAGAAGGGAGTCCAAGATGGTGACAACCAGCACACATCATATTTGAGGGGCACAGGATCTGAAACTCTGAAATGGGTGAGTGGAGGGACAGCTAAAGCCAGAACATGCATATTGAGGCTTCCTAGGTAAGAGGGGACAACCAGTGAGCTGGGACAGTTTGGATTCAGGTCACTCTTGGACATCTCCAGGGACTGAGAGTGCACTCCTCCCTGCTGCAAGCACGGGCCTCCCTGCTAGGCAGAGGCAGCAGTGCTTGCCCCAAGCACAAGCCTCCATGCTCTGTGACTGAGATGGCAGAGGCAGAGACATTATGGACCTCCCAGGTCTGCTGCTGCAGAGGGCAGATGTACAGGCCTCTGAGGTCTCTTGTTCCTGCAGGCCCAAATCTGAGAGTAGAGAACAAGGGAGAACCCATGTGCTTTACGATTAGGCCTTCAAGCAAGTGAGTGTGCCTTCAAGTGAGTGCATACAGAGCCCCAGGGTCCTTCTACGCTAGCAGCCAGACATCAGATCCCACACCCCCACTGTGGGCAATGTAGGGATTTTCTGGACAACTTTCTCAATATTGAAGCCCCTGTTCTGTGGGGGTATCAGGGGAGTCCAGGCAGACAATTCCTGGAGCCCAGAAAAATCTGAATACAAGGAGAACAGTACGAAAGGCCAGAAGGCCACTGAGGTATGCAGGGCACCTGTGCATGCAAATTGTGCCCACAAACAGCACCAGTACCCCCTCTGTACTTAAGGAATCTACATGCTCTAACACTCTGTCCTTCAAGGCACACTTACACACACACACCCATGATTGCACACATGTGCCTGGGACCTTCCTCCCTTAGCTGCAGCTGAAATACCAACATCCACTCTCAAACCAGTGAACCCCTCTCATTTTCCTGAAGAATACTCCAGACATCAGAGAGAGATGGACTCAGTCTGAAGTACAGACTCCAGGAAAAAACAGCAAAGGTTATAGACAAGCAGGTGACTAGAGGTCAGAGTAAGAACCCATCCAACAAAAATTAGGACATTATGGATTTACCAGCAACCCCCAAAATCAATGAATATTCTAATTCATTGTAAATACAAGAAAATGATCTGAAATCTATGCTTATCCAGTTATTAGAGGCAAATAAAAAGGAAATGAGCAAGGCTCTCAAAGAAATACAGGCAACTACAGCCAAACAAATAGAGTCACAAGTAGAGGCACAATTAGTGGCATATAGAGAGGAAACAAACAAAAAAATAGATGCCATCGTGGAAAGATAGGAATCCACATTCAAACAGATGAAGGAAATGGTACAAGACATGAAAATAGAATTAGAATCAATAAAGTAAAAAAACAAACAGAAAATACTAGAGCTGGAGAACAGAGAGAAAAGATCAGAAAACACAAAAGTATCACCAACAGGATACAAAAGATGGAAGAGAGAATCTCAGGGCACTGAAAATATAATTGCAGAAATTTATACATCTTTCAACAAAAAAGTAAAATTGGAAAAGTTCCAAACACAAAACATCCAACAAATCAAGAACACCATGAAAAGACAAAATCTAAGAGTAATGTGAATAGTGAAAAAGATCACAAGAGCCAAGGTCCAGAAAATATTTTCAAGAAAATCATAGAAGAAAATTTTCCCAACTTAAAGAAAGAGATGTCTATAAACATACAAGAGGCCTACAGAACACCAAATAGACTAGACCAGAAAAGAAACACCTCAAGTCACATCATAGTCAAAACACTACATCTACAGAACAAAAACAAAAAAAAAAAAAAGATATTAAAAGCAGCAAGGGAGAAAGAAAAGAAAACAAGCATAGAAACACAGTAACAACACCAATTCCTCAATAAAAGAAACTAACATTCATAGGTCACTTTTATCTATCAACATCAACCTACTCAACTCTCCAATAAAAGACACAGACTAACAGAATGGCTGCGGAAACAAGATCCAGATCATCTAAGAAACACACCTTTGCAACAAAGATAAACACTTCCTCAGAGTAAGGGCTAAAAAAATGTTTTACAAGCAACCAGACCCAGAAAACAAGCTGGAGTAGTTGTTCTGATATTTAATAAAATAGACTTTCAACTAAAATTAATCAGAAAAGATGAGGAGGAACACTTTATTCTCACCAAAGGAAAAATCCTCCAGGAGAACATGACAATCCTGAACATCTATATCCCTTATAGAAATAGAAGCAGTCATCAAAAGTCTCCTTTCTAAAAAAAAAAAAAAAAAAAAAAAAGCCCAAGGGCAGAGGGTTTCATCAAAGAATTTTACCAGACCTTCAGAGAAGAGCCAACTGCAATTCTCTTCAAGCCATTCCACAAAATAGAAACAGAAGGAATATTACCAAACCCATTCTATAAAGCCACAGTCACCTTGATACCTAAACCACACAAAGACCCAACAAAAAAAGAGAACTTCAGACCTATCTCTCTTATGAACATTAAGCAAAAATAAACAAACCAAATTCAAGAACATGTAAAAGATATCATCCACTATGATCCCAGGCATGCAGGGGTGGTTCAATATATGGAAATCCAGCAATGTAATCTGCCATATAAACAAACTGAAGGAGAAAAACCACATGATCATCTCCTTAGATGCTGAAAAAGCATATGACAAATCCAACACCCATTCATGTTTAAAGTCCTTGAGGTCAGGGAGACAGGGCACATACCTAAACATAGCGAAGGCAATATACAGCAAGCATATAGCCAACCTCAAACTAAATGGAGAGAAACTTAAATCCATCCCATTGAAATCAGGGACAAGGCAAGGCTGCCTACTCTCTCCATATCTCTTCAACATAGTACTTGAAGTCCTAGTTAGAGCATAAGAAACTAACAGAGCTCAAGGGAATACAAATTGGAAAGGAAGAAGTCAAAATATCACTATTTTGCAAATGATATGATGATATATATGAGTGACCCCAAAAATTCAACCAGATAACTTTTTCAGTTGATAAACACCTTCAGCAAAGTAGCTGGATACAAAATTAACTAAAAAAAAAAAAAAATCAGTAGCCTTCCTGTATACAAAAGACAAAAGGGCTAAGAAAAAAATTAGGGAAACCACACCCTTCACAATAGCCACGAATGACATTAAGTACCCTGGTGTGATCTAACGAAGCAAGTGAAAGGCCTGTTTAAAAATAACTTTAGTCTCTACATCACAATCTTGAACATCAATGCCCCAAATACAAGGGCATCTACATTTGTAAAACAGACATTGATAAAACTTAAGTCACACATAGATCCCCACACATTAATAGTGGGAGACTTCAACACCCCATTCTCAACAAAGGGCAGGTCAATAAGACAGAAATTAAACAAAGAAACAATGTCTCTAACAGAGGTCATGAATCAAATCGACCTGACAGACATTTACAGAACCTTACACCCAAACACAAAAGAATTTACCTTCTTCTCAGCACCTCATGGAACCTTCTCCAAAATAGACCA